GTTATTGAGAGTTCTTATATCTTCCTGATTCAGTTTTGGTAATTTGTACCTTTCTAGGAATCTGTCCATTTGTTCTGTGTCTTCGATTCTGTGAGACTAAAGATTCTCAAAGTAGCTATTGATGATCTGAATTTCCACTGGGTCTGTAGTAATTTTACTCTTTTCATTCCTTATTGCTTGAATTTGAGATTTTTCTTTCCTCTTTTTGATGAGGCTAGCCAAAGAGTCAGCGTTTTGATTCGTTGATTCTTTGAATTGTTTTGTTCATCTCGATTGAATTAATTGCTGCTCTAATCGTTATAATTTCCTCCCGTCTTTGGGCTTTGGGTTTGGTTTTTCTCTTCTTTTTCTAGAGGTTTGAGGTATAGCTTGAGGGTATTGTTCCCATTGTTTTCCTAATGTGTGAGTTCACAGCAATAAATTTCCCTCTAAGAACTGCTTTCATTGCATCTCATAAATTTTGATATATTGTGCTTGAATTTTCATTGAATGGTAGATATTGTTTTATTTCTTAATTTCATCTGTAACTCATTGTTTGCTGAGGAGGGTGTTGTTTAATTCACATGTATTATTAGGTTTTTGTGGTTTCTTTTGTCATTTATTTCCAGTTTTATTGCACTGTGGCCAGATAATATATATGGGATAATTTCTGTTTTTTTGCATTTACTTAAGTATGATCTATGGACTCTTATGTGGCCTATTTTAAAAAATGTCCCAGGTGCCATTGAATAAAGTGTGTATTCAGATGTGGTTGGGTGGAACACTCTGTATATGTCCACTTGTTCCAAGCTCTGGTTCAGTTCTGCTACTTCTTTGCTGATTTTTGTCTCCTTGACCTATCTTTTTGGGATAAAGGTGTGTTAAGGTCTCCTGTTAAGATTGTGGTGTTGGATGTTAGATTTTTCATGTCCATTCAGATTTGTCTTACATAGTTGGCTGTTCCCGTGTTTGGTGCATACATATTTATGAGTATTACCTCTTCCTGTTGAGTTTTTCTCGTAACCAGTATGTAGTGACCTTCTTCATTTTATTTGATCTTTTTTGGTTTGAAGTTGAGACTGTCTGAAAACAGGATTGCTACCCTTGCTTTTTTCTGAGGTGATTGGGCATATAGTATTGTTTTCCATCCTTTGACTTTCAGCCTATGAATTTCCTTTATGAGTTAAGTGTGTTTCTTGTATAAGCATATTGTTGAATTTTCTTCCTAATGCACTCTGCCATTCTATTTCTTTTAATTGGTGAATTGAGACCATTTACATTGATGGTTATAATTGAGATGTTTTGACTCATGATTGACATGTTGTTTACCTGCTGTTGTATACTGCTCTTTCTCCTGTGTTTAATTGTTTGCCCTATTGGGTGGGTTCTTTCCATTCTCATTTTTGGAGATTTGGACATTTTGGTCTCTAGAATACCTTTTAGTAGGTAGTCTGTGTAGGGTAGGCTTTGTCATCATGAAGTTCTTTAGTTTTCTTTGTCATGGAAGTATTCCACTGCTCCATGAAACTTGAGAGTTTTACAGGTTATAGCAGTCTAGGGTGTAATTTGTTTTCTTGGAGGACTTGAAGTACTCTGTTCCATGTTCTTCTTGACTTCACAGTTTGCGAAGAGAAATCTGCCTTTATTCTGATGAATTTTCCTTTAAATATGATCTGTTTGTTTTCTTTCATGGCTTTTAACATATTGTTCTTGTGCTGGATTTCTGAGATCTTGATTATTATATGTCTGAGTGTGTTTTTAATTGGATTGATGTTATTTGGAGTTTTATATGCTTCGGTTACCAGACTCAGGTTGTTTCCCCATATTTGGGAAGTTTTCTGCTATTCTGCCCATATTCTTTTTATATCATTTGTATTGACTCCTTCTTACTCATTGATGCCTCTTAGTCTTACTTTGTTCATCTTTGCATTGTCTTGTAGATGTTGAATTATTTTTTCCTGCATTGTAGTTGTTTTTAAGAGACCTTTTTTACCTTTTTAGTTAATGTGACCGAGTCTTCTAGATCGGTTTTGCCACCTTGTGATTGAGGTTTTAATTTCCTGTATATCTGTTTGAAGCTGCTTCATGCGTTCTGTTTCTTTCCTATGTTGCTCATTCAAAGATTCTATAATTTTTCTATTATCTATTTTTTTTTATCAGTGTCTAGTTTAGAAGCAGTTAGTAATTTTTTCGTTATAGTTATTTCTTTTTTACTTCAGAGGTTATTTCTCATCTGATTTCCTCTATACCTTTGTTCAGTTGTTTGTTTACTTCAGACGCTGTTATTTCAGAGATTTCAGGTGTGTGATTTTCAATTTCTTGTATGCTAGTGTCCTGCATTTGTTATGGGTGGGATTGGGGCCTGAGACTGCATTTTATTCCTTCTCATCGTTTTTTTAGCACTGTCCTCTGACCTTTGGTGTAGAGCTTTGGTGCAGTTATTTCCTTAGCACCTACTGAAATTTTTATTGAAGAGAGATTATGTCGTTAAGGCAGTTAAAATTTTGTATTTACAAAACTACAATTAGGAACACTGATAGTATTTATTGATATTAAGCAGTTGACAAACTTTTGCAACTAATGGGTTTGTATTTTAGACCATAAGAGTAAACATGTCTGTGTAGCTGAGCAGATATTAAATTGGGAATTTGTATTTAAATTCGTTCCCCTAAGTTCTGTCTGATCATCTCCCCTTGATGTTCATGGGGTCTTCCAGGCAGACTGGTTCGCCCTGGTTACCTGTTGTGCCTTCTCTCAATCAACAGAGAAAGAGAATGCTGTCAATGATCTGGGTCTAGCAAAGTGTCTCAGCTTACTGTGTCTGGATCTACCACATTTGAACTTGTGCAAATGTGCCTGGCTTGGGTCTTGCTGCTGTGTTTAGCTTCTTCCTGGTGCAGCCTGTTGCACTGAATCCTCTGTGCCCCTCTGGAAGATGTTCAACTCCTGGATTAGCTGGGTGGGTTGGGCCCCTAGCCTCTCTGCAGGGAGTTCTGCTGCAGGGTTTCACAGGAGGCCTGTCTGATGGAAGAGGTTCTGAGAGTGTGTGATGGTCCCACGCACAGGCCAGGTCTGGGTTTTGGCTGGAGAGGGTTCTGGGGCCCAGTGAGCAGGGGCAAGTTCACACACACACACACACACACACACACACACCCTCCCTCCCCAGGCCTGGGTTCTGCCTGGAGAGGGGTCTCTCATTTTCCAATTTTTATAGAAACTTTATTGGAATTGATTAGAATCCATTTTAGGCATTTTTTAAAAAAAATTTTTATATACTCTCACAGCCTCACTTCTCTTTCTGAGGGTTCTTTTTTCTCTCTGTTTAAGTGAGATTTTTTTGGTCTATATTTTTGTATATAAAACATTGTGCAGGCTAGTTTTCTTAATTTTGTGGCTCTAGGACTCCTCCCATTATTATATAGCATTTCTCTTTTTTCTTACTGTTTTTAGTACTTTGTGGGCTTTGCTTTTACTGGTACTGGGCTCCAACTGGTCATGTTTGGAGTTTGGGGTTCCTAAGGGACATCCATTCAATTAATTATGTTGTATTTGTTGTATGTGCTTTGCTTTGGCTTAGTCTGATCTGTTTTATTCTCTTTTGGTGGGTTGCTATCCATGGGTATTAAAATGTTAGTCTCTTTTAGTGCTGAGTTGACCAAGGTGCTTTAGTTTTCTAAAAATGAAGATTCTAAACATGACAAAATATTTTCAGTTTTCATAGACTTTAGAGGAAGTCCTAGAGGAGGAGAAACAAAAAATACAAACTGAGAGATTGAAAAACTGGAAAGTATTGCATGAAGTGATAAGCCTTGGATGTGAAATTATTAGAAGGAGGAGGATGAGCTTTGAATGTGGGAAGAGGGCAGTTCATCTAGCAGGAAAGATAAAGAAATGAGACTTCTTTTAGATTAGTTTGCAGGTTATTTTGGAAGCTGAGGAATGTCACATGTGGTATCCTCTAAACTTTCGTGTGAGCTGATCCATTGGCAGAAGATAAGCTTAGGGGGCTTGAGGAAGGTAGTAATTATTTTGAAATGGCTTGGTAAAAAGTGAATGGAAACCAACATCTAACCTGAGGCATAGAACAACACCAACTCTTGAGTAGTCTTTAGACTATAAATTTCTTTGGAAGGATTTTTTTCAGTTTTATCTCTTAACAATTTAGATGTAAGAGCAGAGAGGGTGGTTTTTCTGCTGAGCTCAGGTTAGTATTTTGCAGGACAGATAAGGCATGACAGGCGGATAATGATGGTAAGGATGGGATGCATATTAAACTATTAGCTAGAAAGGAAGGAAACTGTACTATTCTGATGGAGATGGGTTGGGGAAAAGGGGAGGATTGAAGACTCACTTATCTTGTGAGTCTTGCGCAGGTGCTATATGAGAGTAAGAAAGAGTTGAACAAGAGATTAAAGCCAAAGTAGTATATTGGAATTTATATAACTTCAGAACTAGAGTGGTTCCATTTTATTGTAAAGACCACAGTAATGTGTGACAGGTGTGACCCATTACAGATCACCTGTGGTGATGGCCGGAGTAGGGCTAGAGGGGAACGTGTTATTCAGATATGTTGGTAAACAAGGGAGATACACAGGTGGGAGTCATATCTGAAGAAGTCAGGGTTTGGAGTAGTATTCTCAGAATGGAAAAGAGGAAAAGACTAATTGCTTCTTAAAGTGTATTTGACATTTGTGCATGTGAATACCAGAGATTGGGCAAATGTCTTCAAAGGACCACTAATTAGGAAATATTTTAGGATATTTCACTCATATATGATTTCTGTGGTATTTCTATTACCTAAGAATATAAAACCAGTCTTTGCTTATGAGCCACATAACAGTCAGGGACCAAGGATAGGGGTTTGCTGACCCATAATTATACTTAATGAGTTTTATATTAGAAAGTGTTTAGAAGATAACACGTTTATTTGTGAAATGTTAGTAAAATTGACTTACTTCTCAGTATGGTAACTATTTTACATTTCTGAACAAAACTTTTGCTTTGTTTGTGGTGGATGCAAGTTGAGCCAGCAGATACTGGAGTTATTTGAAACATGTCAGCAGCAAGTGAGTGACTTAAAGAAGAAAGAACTCTGTCGGGCACAGCTGCAAGGGGAGATTCAGCTGCTTTTCCCACGTATGTCTCCATTTTGGATGCTCTTTCAGTTATGTGTTCCTGTTCTGTAATTTGAATAGCATCTTAGGATTTCCTTCTGTTTCTTTAGAAAGCAGACTTTTTCTGGTCGGGTCGTCTTTAAATGGATTTGGTACCCGGAGTAGTGATGGTGATTTATGTCTGGTTATTAAAGAAGAGCCAGTAAGTAATAAAACATTCATTTTTTATCAGATAAAAATTTCATATGAAAGTCACTGTGGAAAAGAACTTTTTCTTTGGACTTTCATTTATCATAATTCCAAGAAACTTAGAATATGCTGCTTGTTAAATTTAAAGTGTGCATAACAGGAACTCTTAACGTTAATTTAGTTCTGAGTTGTGTTTTTAAAGAGGTTTTCCTCTTTTGAAATGTCAGTCAGTGGGTTGGATACATTCATCAGGATACAGCATAGAACATGTGGCAGTATTCTCTTCTTGATGTATTTCCTTTCCATTCGAATTTTCAATGATTCTATATTTATTCACCTTTTCTCTTTTAAATGCTGTGGGGTTTAGAGATTTTATTTGGGGATGACAAAAATTTCACTGAAATTTAAAGTAAGATTTATAAAATTTAATTATTTTTTGAGACATTTTGGTTTTATGTAACAGTCAAATTGTTATGTGGTAATACATTAATTTGAAATCCCTATTAGCCAGTGTCTTGTGTATATTCCTCAATATCATGTTTATTGTCCTGCTTGTAGCAGCCTCTTTAAGGGGTTAAGGTTTCTTCTGAATTACCAAAGCTTAAATTAAGATCAGTATAATTTTAATATACCTCGTATTGTACATCTTTAAAACTATATGAAAACTATTGAATGGCAATGTATATTTTTACTATTCATGTTATTTCACTAATAAAAAACAGATTTGTTCCAGGAAAGAAGCTCTGATAGGGTAGATAGATCAGTGGTCTAAGCACCTGCCTGGCAAGTGCAAGGACTTAAGTTTGATCCCTGATATCACATGCCATGCTAGCCCCAGCACCCAGTGCTGGGGATGCTGAGACAGTAAGATCACTACAAATCTGGCTGGATAGTGAGATCCTGTACCAAATAAATAAATTAATTAATTAATTTAAAAAGCAAAAGAAACTCTGGTATTCTCTGCTTTGCAGTCATATAATGAAAGTATGTAGGGGGGTGCTCATAATATAAACATAATGGAGATTACAAGAGGTGCAATTAAAACATACTCTTGCAGTTAGACTATACTCAAGTCCATCATCCAGTCTTGATTACATGTCTGAATCATCTTGTTGTATCTTATATTCAAATAAGCTCATAAGAACCAGGTGTGGTGTGCACACCTGTAATCCCAAAACTTGGAGACTGAGGTAGGAGGATCACTGTTGGTTGGAGGCCAGCCTAGATTATGTAGTCAGCTCAAGGTCAGGCTGGATTGCATGTAGCAAGGTAGGGAATAAAACATCCCAGCAGCTTAGAAGTTTATTTTTGTTGGGGAATATTAATTTTATACATTTATTTATTTTTGATCTTTTTATTTACTTATTTGGTACAGGGTCTTGCTATGCCGTTCAGATGTGTAGTGATCTTCTTATCTCAGCCTCCCCAGTGCTGAGATAATAGGTGTGCACCACTATGCCCAGTTTTGGGGCTGGCAAGGCATACAGTACTGGGCATTGAATCCTGGTCCTTGTGCTTGCCAGGCAGGTGCTTAGACTGCCAAGCCATCTCCCCAGACCATTTTGTTTTTGTAAATGGAAGAAAAACTGTGAGTTTCACAATTTCTCTAAAAATTGTACTGTAAGTTTAGAATATGGAATTTAGAAATACAGATACGCAATTTAGAAAATAAAGGTTGACTTTTTCTATAATGAAATTTGTTATATATTGAAAAATAAGTCCAAAGAAAAGCCTACTTTGTGTTTGTTGAGATACCTTAAGAAAGTGTATCATTGAGCTAAGTCAGATAATGACAAAAATGACTTTATTTTTAACTTTTCAGTGTTTTTTTCAGGTAAATCAGAAGACTGAAGCACGGCATATACTCATGTTAGTCCATAAACACTTCTGTACTAGACTTTGTAAGTCTGATGTGTCTCAAGTTCATGTCATCTGTTTGATACAGCTGCTTAAAGTGTTTCTCATTTTGTTTTCTGATAAGAATTTTTTCTTTTCTTTTTTGAGTTTTTTATTTTCCAATCAGGTATAATGTGGATCCTTTTTCTGCCCCTAAATTTCTTTTAACTTTTTACTCAAAAGAATGGCCATTTATTCAACAAATTTTTGTTGAGCTTATTTCCTCAGTATCTCACTAGATATAGCCAGAGATTCAAAGATGCATAAACTGCTTTTTCTCAGAAGATATCTGTTAGGGAAAGAAACTTAAGACATGTGTGAATTGCTATACTGCAAAGTATCTGAAAAGCTAAAAGTGACACATACACTGTCAGTATTCATGTGAGAGAAAAGTTCATCTCTTTTGCAAAGTAATATACATTTTATTTGATTTTAAAATGTGGACATGAAGCCCATATAATTGTTCCATCAAAAAGCAAAATTGTTGCCTTAGGCCATATGTAGTAACATTTTATTTTTTAATTTTGATTTTTTTTTTTTTAAGTTTTGAGACAAGGTATCACTATGCAGTTGAGACTGTCCTTGAAATCCCTGTGTAGCTAGGCATGAACTCACAAATGATCTTCCTGCCTTGCCCTCTTGAGTGGTAGGATTACAGGCGTCCAACATCACACCTGACTTGGATATAGTTTTTTAACAGGAGATGAGTGATTTGGTTTAGTTGGTGTCAGAACTGATACTTGTTACTCAAAACTATTAACTCCTAATCTTTTTTTCATTAACAAATTGTTTTTGTCTTAAAATCTTGTTCTGTACTTTTCTGTAATTAAAAAAGTAGGAAGTTATTCATGTGGAAAAGGTCTTCGAAGTTTCTTTTTTATATATTTCTCTGATTTCCTAATTTTCTAAAATATACATGTATTTCCTGAAACTCAGTAAATTTTTTAAAAGTTGAATAGCATAAAAATTTATTTTTTTTCTTAGAGATCATAGTTATTTCATTATATCCCTGCTACACATACAACATTGTAAGCATTTCCACATTTAAACCTGTAAATATGATTTCTTTGGCAATCCTTTCTTACTACTGTACCAGAATTTAGACATATCCTTGATGTTAGTCTATTTTTTCATTTCTTGTAATGTTCTACTACTACATCTGACCTGTTCTGATACACTTCTTGGTAGACACTATTGGTCATTAGATTCCGTTTAGGTTACCCCATTAAGGTAAACTTAGTCTTCTAAATGGTGTTCCTAGACTCTTCAATTGTAGAATTTCAAAATGCTGTTTTTTTTTTTTTTTTTCTTTCTTTTTTCAAAGACAAATTTTCTTAAGTAGTTTTAGCTTAGTAAAATGCTATTTTAGATAAATGTACATTCGAATGCAATGAATTTGGGAAACATTGGCAGTATTCATGTGTCTTTATCTTGCAGCTGGCTATATTGAGAGACCTCAGCTGATTCGAGCGAAAGTGCCAATTGTGAAGTTCAAGGATAAAGTCAGGTAAGTAATTACTTAACTGTCTTTTATGAGTTGCTTTAAATTATTTTTAGAAATATATCTAATGTAGGTAAGAAATATGTATTGTGCAACAGCTTGCTATCATGTTTTAGAAATTGCTTGCAATTTTGAAATATTTTTTTAAATAATCTTCCTCATGTTTAATTGTATTACTTGACATTTGAATATTTGAGACTAACTTAAAGAATATATGAGATATTGATACATATGGTAAATGTTTCAACAAATGAAACATGGGCATTAGTAAAAGAAACATGGGCATTAGTCCCAGAAAATACTTCCCTATTGTTCTTGCCACTTTCTGAAGCAGTTTGAGGCTATGGGAGTGTTTGGAGGGGGATTAATATATCCTTTGCTGGAACAAATTTTTAGAAATTTAAGCATTCATAGCTGAACGTGCATGCTCATAATCCTAGCACATGGGAGGCTGAGGTATAAGGGTCATCATTTCAAGGCCAGCCTGTACTATATATTATGAGACTCTGTGTCTCATAAAAAAAATACAAAGTTTTAAAAAGTTGAAAAAGTAAAATTTAAGCATTCAGTAAATATTTTGACCACATCTAAAACGTATGATTGGATTTTTAAACATCTCTAGACTTTTGGAGTGTAATGCATTCTCTGGAACATGCCTTAGTTCATAAAATTTTATATTTTATATATCTATATCTATTGAGGAATTTATTATAAATTATGTCTCATTTTAATGAAAGATAGATATGACACTTAGAATAATAGGGGGCCTGAGACTGGGCATGATGGCATGTGCCTGTAATCCCCACTCTTGGGAGGCTGTAAACAGGTGGATCACTAAGAGTCCTATCTAGGAGTGAGACCCTGAGTACCCTGTAACCCTTCCCTAAAAATACCAAAAATAAAATAAAATAAATAATAGATATGAAATGTACTTATTCCAATTAAAAATTTATTGTTTTTCTATTTATTTTCACAGCCTAGGATTAGAATTTTTCAGGAAATACCTGAATATGAAACAATGATTAGGTGTTAAAGATTTGTTACTTTTTTTTTTTTTTTTTTTTTTGGCTTTCTCAGAATGCCTTCAGGGCATGTTTGCCTGGCTGGAGTTGTGGGGATCGAACCTGAGGCTGACTGCTTTGTTGAAGCAGCCACTTAAACAACTGAGCTAAGGGGCAGGCCCTGATTTGTTATTGTTTTATAAAATAGGTAGAATTATGATAAATCAAGTTTTTCAAGCCCAGTTTTATAAAACTAATACTAAAATTGTGCATGCACACAATCATACATGTATATACAGTTGAGCTTCCTTATTTGTGGATTCTTGAAATTTGCCTACCTGCTTAAAATTTGTTTGTATTCCTTTCTATTAATATTTATATGCTTTATGTGTTTTAGAGGTAGTCATTTTTTTTATTTTATTAAAAAACAAATAGAAATGAGACAGTTTCAAAATAGGTTATTAGAACAGTTACAATAATTAATGCATTGCATATTGTTGTCTTAGTAGTAGTTCTTCATAGTACAAGATGCAGACATGATATCCTGTCCAAACACTACTAGTACAAATCTTTCTTCTCATTGACTTAGGAGAAAGTAGCTGTATATCTATTCTATTTTGTATATACAGATACAAAATGGTCCTTCATTTGTATCCCCCTTTTTTGTTTAGTTTAGTCAGAGATGGGTATTCCATTGCCATTTAAGTATTGTAGGTGCGTGAATTCAGCAAAATAATCCAATATAGTCCAGTAGTCCATAATAGTAGTGGGTTATCCGTAGGACTGGCAATGTCAGAAGTTGTTGACTTGAGCCTTTTACAGCTCAGTATATTAGTATGGCTTTACTTTTTACACAATGTTTTTATACTTTTCTGCTGGATGGTTAAGACCAAGATAAAGCAAGACCTATATAACAAGAAATGTAACTTTTGTATTTGACAAGGTCAGTCAAATCCCTTCAGGATTTACCCTGAAACCCTGTAATGCAGTTTGTAGATCTTTTGTCAGTGTCAGCCATGTGGATGAGTCACGGCCATTGCTTGACCAGTTTGCTCTCTGTGAAAGCCTGAGAGAATGTGACTTTCCTTAGGCACACTCTACATTGTCATTCACTTTCCTCTGTGGCCCCATAATCTCCTTCATCAGAAAATTTGGGACACTACTGAGTTACAGGATGTTACAGTACAGGTTCTCTTATTCCTGAATCCTTACTGATCTTGAATGGCTAGTGCCAAAATGTTGGCTGTCCTTGCAGCCCTTCTTTTTCTCTAATTTTTGGTTTGCAAACTTTAGTTGTTAACCCTCCAGAAGAGAAGCTTAATGATATTATTAATCTATAATGAGGTAGCCATTTGAAGACAGGCACAGAAAGGTAAAAATTTTGAGTTACCCAGTTTCCTTACTTAGCTGACGTTGAGTAAGATGACACTGCCTTTTTGTTCCAGCTTTTATGCTGTAAACAAAATGTTATTTCCTTCCTTCCCTCCATCCTTTCCCTTCCTTTTTGTGGTATAGGGGATTAACATCAGGCTTTCATGTGGTTTGCAAGAGCACTGCAGCTCATTTACATGAGTTACAACTCTATCGGTAAACTTTACTAAATCAACTTATTTTTTAAATTTTTAATTTTATTTTTTATTTTATTGAGAAACAAGTAGCAATGAGACAGTTTCAAAACTGATTAGTAGGACAGTTTCAGTAATTAATACATTGTACATTGTTATCTTCTTAGTGGTTATCCATAGTACAAGATGCATTTTAAATGGTTTTAAACAGAAACAACATAAATCAAGATTATATGTTGACTAACAGGTGAAGATGTGACCAGCTTGGCTGAAACCTAACCCTACATTTCTAGTTGAAGCAAGGGTTCATTATTTGCTTATTCAATGTTTGCAGCAATTTTATGAAACATAACTACTTTCAATGATAAAAACTGACTGGAAAAATATATATTATAAACAAAGCTTAGTACTTGGTTCAGGGCTACTTTTCCATTCATGTAAACATGCATTCAGTATATAATATTTATTGACTTTCTACCAAGTAGTGTTAGAACAATCAGGTAAGGGCCAGGGAGATGGCTCAGGGGAATAAATGCTTCCTTGGTAAGTGCAAGGGTCTGAGTTCAATCCCTGGTTCCACAACAACAACAACACAAAGAATAGTCAGGTGAAGTGCTACATACCTGTAATCCTAGGACTTGGGGAGGCTGAGACAGGAGGATCATGATTTCAAGGCTAGCCTGGGATACATTGAAAGTTCCAGGACACAGCTTCATAGTTGTCTCAAACAGCAACCATAACAATAAAAGCAACAATAGGATATGAAATATATAGGGAAATACACTTAATAACTCATTTTAAATGTATATGATTGTGCTTATAGTTACATAAAGACTTTTGTTACATATTTTATATAACTACATTACAGAATTTTTCTGTACAACTCACAAGTGGGCTGGTGTTGTAGTAGCTCAGTGGTAGAGTGCTTGCCCTGGGTTCTATCTCCAGCACTGAAGAAAATCCACCCACTAACCCCCATACAAAAAAAAAACCCAGAACACCCCAGAGACCATTGTTACTGACCTACCACATGCTGCAAAAGACAGTTATGTTGAAAACGCTATAAAAGTTTCACCATCACTGCCATAAACCAAAACAGCAGAAGCTCCGTTCCTAAATATTTTAGTGTAAACCATTTTTCTGTATGAAGATGAATGCACAATAATTTTTAAAATTAAAATCTTTTATTTACCATAATATCATGAATACTTTTTATATTACTAAATATTTTTCTATAGCATCATTTTTATGAGTATTTTGATTACTTTTTTAATGTAATCAAAATGATTACATTGGAATAATTTTTTCACTGTAATCAAAATGATTACAATGATTAATGTAATCATTCCTGTATGTTTGAACATTTGATTAATTTCTAGTTTTCAGCTGCCATAAAATTCTTTCCATATTTGTAGCTACTTTTGTAATATTTCTGGAATTAGTATTTGAAGCAGTTGTGATAGATAACTTTAATGCCCTGATGCATTCACTTTTTTGAAGTTTTTAATTGCACAGTAGCTTTGGAATGTTTTTTCATCTCTGTTGTTTGTTATTTTAAGTATCTCAAAGCTGAATATGTATATCTAGAGTTACTACTACCCTTTACTTTTGTTAATAAATAAGGATAATTGAAAGATTATTAAGTTTCTTTGGTTCCTGATGAGAAATTGAAAAGGTGAATTTCAATTTTTATAATAAAAGGTAGAGAGTTTATGGGTCTAAGTGGAACTTATATATTCATACTTGATTGTATAGTCTTATCAGTAATGCTCAGTTTTCTAACTTGCATATTTTTGCTTTCAAAAATGTTCCTTTTATAATGTGTGTGAGATTATAGCTCTTCCTTGATATTAGTAGCTACATTTGATATGGTATTATAATTTAATAGCCTTTTAGGAAGGGATATAATGTATAGGTAAGCCCTTTATTTTATTTTTTGATCTTTGTTTGGCTTTTTATTCCTCTTGCTTTAAACTATATAATTATTTAAGAATAGGTAACTTAGTGGAGTGTGTATCTTGCCCAGAATTTTTTTTTTTTTATTTAAATTAGTACAGGGTCTACAGGGCCTCACTGCAGATCAGACTTGTAGTGATCTTTCATGTTTTTTCAGCCTCCTGAGCGCTGGGATTACAGGCGTGCGCCACAACGCCCAGTCTCAATTGCAGTCTCAGCACGCCCTGGGGGTGGGGCTGGCATGGCAAGCTGGGGATTGAACCCTTGGCCCCTGAGTTTGCCCAGACATGTTTTTGAGTCATAGTTTTTTCCTTCTGTCAAAGGTTGTAAGATTTAAATTATCCTTTCATTTGTGTAATTGAAGTCTTATTAGTAAGCTACACATCTTTTAACAGTAATAGTCTTAGTTGATACTTTTAGTATATACCAAATCAGATTAAAACTACATGCTAAATATGTTTATATTCTTACTTGTTTTGTGCCTCATTTAGAAAATGCAGCCTGGGTTCTGCCCTTATGAATCTTCACATGGATTAATGTCATTGTATTTGGCGGGAGATTGTACTTGAGCTAAAGTTTGCTTTACTTTGTTTTCTTAAATAGTTGTGTGGAGTTTGACTTGAATGTAAACAATATTGTTGGAATAAGAAACACATTCCTTCTCAGAACTTATGCATACCGTAAGTTTTTGGTTTATTTCAAAAAGATTATTGACTTTTGTTTTTCTTTCAGAAAATAGCAACACTTGTTTAGTGTGGTTAGGTATAATATGTTTCATTTATGTTGTATGTTGCTATTTTGAGTCTTATACTACTTGAATTACAGGAAAATCAAATTCATTTTAATAAACAGTAGTTTTTAAGAGATGGCTATGGTAAGTTTAGAAGTTAAGTCACACGTTTAGTGAACACAGAGTTGAGGGGACAGAAGGCATTTTTTAAAAAATGAGTGTGGGAGTTGGGAAGTTATCTAATTTTCAAAGAGATTGTATTATCCTTTTACCATTTTTAAGTTTTCATTTTACTTGCAGTTGAAAATCGAGTTCGTCCATTAGTGCTGGTGATTAAGAAGTGGGCAAATCACCATGAGATAAATGATGCTAGTCGTGGTACTTTAAGCAGCTATAGCCTTGTGTTGATGGTTTTGCACTATTTACAAAGTAAGTGTTATTGGACTCTTGTTACTTTCTAAAAGTAAAATGTGATTAAACTTCATTAAGGTGTCTTTCCTGGTAAACTTGCTATCAAATAGCATTATTTTTAGAAGTTCTTTCTAATATCTATATAACTATATGCCCTATTTTGTTGCTTTAATGTTTAAGAAATGTTATTTTCTGGAAAATATTATTGAAAAGTTTCATACTGTTTATTTTTTAGCAGTTTATCTATGTTCACTTTTGTATTGAAAGCACTTTAACCACCATATCATGGACCCCATTATCTTGAGTTAGATGATGGTTCACAAGATTTGTAAAACTAATCTCAAGTACCATTCATCTGATTTTAATTTTTCATTTCAGACAAATTAAATAATTTTCTTGCTTGTCAAGAACTGCACTCTCCATGAACAGCACTCTCCATGAACTGCACTCCCCAACTAGATTTTATCTTTATAGAACTGTTATTTCAGATTGGACCTCAGATTTTAATTCAGTCCAGTTAACTATTATTTATGAGGCCATTCTGCTAAAAATCCATACTTTATCTTATGCATAGTGGCAATAATAACTGAACACTTACAATTTGTGCCAGTCATAAGATAGGCCTAAGAATCCTTGTAGTTTTGAAAATGCCTAGAAATATATGACAGACAGAGCAGACCTGATTGGAACTTTTGTTTTCATATTTAATGGTCTTTTGTATATACAATCCAAGAAGTAACAAGATGTTTTACATGTTCTACTCAGCTGGGCTCTACGGTGTAATCAAGATAAAACAAAAGATTTTGTTTTCATACCAGTGGTCTGATATGTTTGATGACTAATTTATAGAATAGATGAATATCTGGTGGCATAAAAATTGAGTGAAATACTTGATGACAATTTGCAAGGAAGTCTAGGGCCTGACTTGTCTTGAGTTGATGTTTCCACAGTTTAGAATATTGTCTTTTGAAGATTATGCTAATGGAGGAAAATGTTTTAGCCTACATAGTACTTATTTTTTTCATCCATGAATGTTTGTTGACTGTCCACTAAATAAATGGTGGGTGTCCTGCTGTAGCATCTGGGAATATAGCAGTGAGCAAAATAGAAAAAACTGGTATTCTTTTTTTAAAAGATAATTTTATTGGCACATTTTAGATATACATAATGATAACATTCACAGTATTTGTACCTGTACTTATATCTTGATACTTTTTTCCCATCCCCTTCCCCTCCCTTTAATCCCTCTTCCTTATCTATTAAAATTTTGTTTCCTTTTTTTTATTCACTTTTTCTTTTTCCCTTCCTTCCTTTCCTCCCCCCCCCTCCAGTTCCCCTTCCTATTTGAACATTTCCTCCTATTTCATAATATCTATTATACAATTTGGACCTTATTTATACTTTTGGTTTCTTGTACCAGAGAAACCATGTGATATTTGAACATGTATGTCTGATTTAGTTTACTTGAAGAGTGGTTTCAAGGTACATCCATTTACCTAGAAATGTCTCAAGTTTATCCTTTATTGCATACTGATACTTCATTTAAAAAAAAACCCTATTACAAAATTACAAACTATGCAAAATGCAAATTGAAACAATACTATATTACCAAGAAATAGCCAGTAAAAATTCTGGTGAGGTTGGGAAAAAAGAAACCCTTTTCTATTGTTGGTGGGAGAATAGACTGGTGCAACCACTGTGGAAATCAGTTTGGAAATTCCTTAAAAAACTAAAACTAGAGGTTCCATTTGACTAGTTATTCCTCTTCTTGGTATCTTTCAAAGGGGTTAAAAGCATCATACTACAGCAATATTTGCAAATGACCATTGATGCTGAACTTTTTTTCCTTGTATTGCTATTTCTGTTCATCTGAGAAGTGTCTGTTTTAGATAACCTTTTTTTTTGTGGAACTGGGGATTGAACTCAGGCCCTTGCGCTTGCCAGGGAAGCACTTATTCCACTGAGCATCTCCCCGGCCCCTAGATAACCATTTTTGGATTAGGTCTTTAAATTTGGGGGTGTCTGATGTTTTGAGTTCTTCATATATAGTAATCCTCTGAAGAATAGCTGGCAAAATTTTTTTCTCACTTAGTGGGTTGTCTTTTCACTCTGGTGGCATCTTTTGCTGTACATAAGCTCTTTAATGAGATTCCAGTTGTGAATTTGTGATGTTTCCTGTGTGATTGGGGTTTTGTTCATAAAGTCTTTGCCCACACATATGAGTTCCACCTGTTTTATCTTCCAGCAGATTTAGTGTTTCTGATTTGATGCGTAGATCTATGATGTATTTTGATTTTAGCTTAGTACATAAAGTGCGATATAGGTTTAAGTTTAGTCTTTGGCATATAGACAGTTTACCCAGCACCAATTTTTTTTTGGTGGTACCAGAGATTGAACTCAGGACCTTGCACTTGCCAGGCAAGTAACTTAATTCTACTGAGCTATCTCCCCAGCCCTCCAGCACTATTTATTAAAGAGGTTATCTCTATTTTAATGAAAGTGTTTGGTTCCTTTGTCAAAGATAAGGAAGCTGATTGTGCTTGTAGTTGTCTCTGCATTTTCTTGTGTTTTGTTTTGTTGGGTTTTTTTTGGGGGGGCAATACCATGCTGTTTTTATCAAAGTAGCTTTTTTAGTATAATTTCAAATCAGGGATTGTGATGCTTCTTGTCTTGCCTTTGTTGCTTATAATTGCTTTTGCTATTCTTATCTCTTCTGGTTTCAAATGAATTTTAGGGTTGTTTTCTGTCATTTTGTGTGGTATATTGTTAATATTTTGATTAGTATTGCTTTAAATCTGTATAACAATTTGGAGAGTATGGCCATTTTCATTATATTGGCTTTTCCTACTCACAGACAGGGAATACCTTTCCATTTTCTGATATCCTCTTCAGTCTCCTTTTTCAGAGAACTGTAGTTTTCAATTTAGAGGTCTTTTACATCCTTTGTTAGATTAATTCCTAGGTATTTCATTGTTTTGGATGCTGTTGTGAATAGTGTTGTTTCCCTAATTTCACTGAATTTGTTATTCATGTGCAGGATGACTATTGATTTTTTTTTTCTTTTTTTTTTTTTTGGCGGAACCGGGGATTGAACTCAGGCCCTTGAGCTTGCCAGGGAAGCACTTATTCCACTGAGCCATCTCCCTGGCCCTATTGATTTTTGAATGTTGACTTTGTATCCAGCTGTGCTAATGAATCTATTAAATCTAGAGTTTTAGGGGTCTTCTGTGTTATGTAAAAATAATAATTTAAGATTTTCTTTTCCTATCCTTTCTATTTCTTTTGTCTAATTGCTCTGGATAGTGTTTCTCGAACTGTTGAATAAGAATGGTGAGAGTGGACATCTTTTTCTTGTACTGGACTCTTAAGGAAGTAAGTAGAAAAAATAAACACATCAAAATTGTGGCCCAAGGCACATCTGAAATAAAACCAGACCTCAAGATAAAGATGCAATAGCCAGGCCTACAAGTCTCTCTAAGGATTAGCAGTAAAGTGAGAATATATTGTAATTAGCCTCACCTGGCATAGGACTTTCATCTACGCATCAGTCACCCAGGTGGGTGACCAGACCCATTCCTATCCCAAAATGCTTTTTATTCTTTCCATATGCCCTTGCCATGTGATCCTCTTCCATATTGGGCTAATATTAGTTAAGTAGCTATACTTGTGACCCTACAGGTTCTCTGACATTTGACCACATTGTACCTACATTGTGACTTTGCTCTATAAATGACCTCTAATAAAAGGCCTCAAAGAGTCTGCCTTTGGAATCCCTCCTGTTTCTCAGCAGCTGCCTCTCAATAAACGTTTCCTACTCCTGACCTCCATTGTCTTTAAAAATTCATTCTTAGATTTCAGGAGACATGAACTTGGTACATCTAACAGCTTAGAAGTTACATTTTCCTGTATCGGTGTCATGTTAGGTTTTTCAGCAGCAGAGGTGGCAGCAGAGAAGCAGAAATAAAGGGACACGGAGCCTTTATTAACTCTGCAGACACAGAGAGAACCAAGGGCAGGAAGTTGGGAAGATCCTGTGACCTGAGACAGGGAGCCTGAGACTTTATGGGCTTTTGCTGGGGGCAGAGTTTGAGGGGTGGGTTCAGGGACACAAAAGGAGCTGACTGGAGGCTCCATTGTGTGCCTGGGAAAGGTAAATGGAAGTTGTGTCTAGGGCTGGAGTGGGGAGGAAGGAGGAAGTGGTCATTGGGAAGAGAAGCTGTTGTTTTGGGGATTCAGCCATATTAAATCAGGGCCACGATAATTTAACAGTTTGTACTCTGGCCAGAACCTATCAATTGCAGTGCAGTGATGTGAAATCTGTTTAAAAGCATCTTTTTATTGTATTGTTTGGTGCTTTTTATGTTTAAATTCTTACAGTATTAACAGTTAATATCAGTGGTTTTGTCAAAAGCAGAAGAAAAATCAGTGATTTGGTGCTCTTACAGCATTTCTTCTGAACTAAGGGTTCTGGGAAAAGGGGGCATATTTTTCTTGGTATGTGGATCAGCAGTTAGGATTGGGAAGTATAGTTTTATAAGGTCCTTGGATACCACACTGCTCTTTGACAGGGAATGGGGAGGTAGTTGCAAAATTGGACATATCTTCATAGAGTCATTTACTAATAGTACGATTGAAAAGATTGTCATCTCAGTGCCTTGGCAGATCAGAGACAAGATGGAGTGTCAGAAATTCTCTTATCTTCAGAGGATTACTGTACCGGGTTCAAATTTAAAATAGAGACCAAGACTAGAAGGGATTAGAATTTAATGAGCCTTTATTAGTTGGTCCAGTGGCTGGCCAGTGAACTTCACGCCGAGAGTGCCAACCAGCAGCGAAACAGAATTAAACCCTGTCTTTTATATCAAGTAAACCATGTTTTGTTGACACAGTTGTGAACTGTTTATGACTAAGGCGTCTTGCCTCATGGGGGGGCCTTTTGAGCAAGCTGTTTTTAAAAGATACTTCTTAAAATGACTATGTTTACAGTAAACTTGTTAGGGAGGGAGTTTACTTTAGCT